TTTCAGCATTATCATCAATAAGCTTCCTGACATACAGGATTGAATGCAGCTTTGGCTTTTCCTGAAATAGTATGTCCACTAATACTACAAGAGTGGCAAATTTTAGTTAAAAAACATGCAGAGACCTAATTAATTCTTTGCAATCCCAAGTACAGCTAGACCCCCTAGCCTGCTGAGGCTGCATTCCTGAATAATGCAGCAGTAAGCAATTCAATCAACAATAAAGCGATTTTTCTTGTAACAACTCACATGGCAGAGAAGGAAAGTGCGCAGTAGCTCAGGAAGAACATGTAATTTGAATATTCAGAAAAAGCATATATGGTGTGAAGGACAGGGATCCTGGAGCTTCCCGTGGGAGCCATGGCATCACCAGTATTTCAGCCAGACAAGGTGCTGACTTTCTAGCAGCTAACTTTTCTGAACAGATTTCCATTCTGAAAGATCTCAGCTGCCTCATATACGAGGCCAACCACCCAACACCAATATTAGTGTGTAAGTATTTTTGCTTTCTCTTTCAGAATAGTTATATTTTCCTTGCTATCATCATCTTCCTCGGATGAATCAGTGTCAGTCAAATAAGTCAAGGGTGAAGGACATAATAAAAGGAAAATAGTGGTTAGCACAGCACGGTATTAAATGAATAATGACAGAACTCCAAACTGAAGAGTTGAAAAGTGACAGATTAAAGGGTATCACTGTATTACTTACCAGGAATCACCTAATAGAGAGATATTTATACATTGTAAATCCACTTCAAAGTGAAATTAAAGTTTAGTCTAAGGGCAAAGGCATCCATTTAGTATCTCATCTCAAAAAACTGTATCAAGATGGAATGCTTTGTGGAATGGAAAAACATTCATTTAGATTTTAAGAAATAATGACACTAAGCAACTAATGGACTATGTTTTTATATATACCTAATACTAATTCCAGGCTTTATTTCTTATGCCCTCTAAGCCCATCCACGCGTATTTATTCCTATCCTTTTCATCCTTGTCTTCCTTTTCTCCTAAACACTGATGAATTGGCAAATTCTAAAGCACCGTGTCTGCTGAAGGACAAGCAACAAATAACTCCTGTTTATTCTGTTTATTCTGCAACCTTTCCCTGAGCAGAGGGATTAACCTGAGTTCTTCCTTTCCTTCCAGCTATCCATTCCCACGACACTTAAAGGAATTATCTTTTAGATATATCTTGTCTATATAGGCTAAGAGTAATTAGCAGGTTCAAAAATTATTTGGGTGACTGACAAAGTACAAAAGAGAAGAGCATTGCACTTTGTTACAGTAATCTGGCCTTACTGTCTTTTATTGCATTACATTTTGCTTTGTATCTTTTTGTGGTGTATGCAGACAACTAACTGTATGTCACAGCATTATGCAGACTTTAAAGAGAAACAATTTTGAAGTTATTTGAAACCAGTTAGCAGTTGTTGTTGGGGTAAATGGTAATATCTTTTGTAAGAAAAATAAGAAAACAATAGCAAACACAAACATTTATTTCTATCTTATGTACTGTAAAAAAGATTTTTAACAGGAAATAAATGAATATTTATCTTTTGTCTCCAGTAGCTATAAGACAAACTAACCTTTTTTGTAGAACTTGGTTTGAAAGGTGGTGCAACTGGCATCTCTGGAGGTAGTTTCTTTCATGTGGCAAAGGTTTGTCAGTCAAATAGGGATTCATGTCAAAATACTCCTGGGGATATAGATTTAGCCAACCATTTATGTTTCTTTTGCTCCTTCTGTAAAACAAATACTTTGAAAGAAACATTTTTAGGATTTTTACTGTATGTAATTCTAAGACAAATATGGAAAGCATTTAAATTTAGTCTTGGAGAATTTTTAACTTCCTTTGCTCTTGTTTTACGATCAAGGTATTTTATATACCCTCCGTGTATAATGGAACATAGATTCATTCACTGACCAGAAAGGACAACAAACACTATGGAAATATGAAAGAAAAAGGTCATGAAGAGCATGACCTATGCATCTGAGATGTGCCTAACAGTACTGCTTACTGTATCTTGAGCATACATGCACACGTACACACCTGAAGATTCTGCCTGTGTGCATCCCAGCTGCTCATACTGGTGAACCCTGGCCACTATGTTTCCCAGATTCTGAGCACCTTACTAAGCTTAACTTCTCTAGGAATTGGTTCCTTCTACCATGGGAGATGATGACTATTCTTACCAGATTCCATTTAAATAAAGTAGGTTAAAACATTACTAAAAATTAAAAGACAAGCATAAAATGTATCATCAGTAACATAGTATCACCTGGTAATGCATGTCAATGTCTCAGCAAATTCCCTTTCTTTCTATCCAGTTGAAACAATCCCACCTGCCTCTTTTCTCCATTCTTATTTTCTGCTTTGTCTCTGAATTTGTCTCAACTGCAAGTAGCTGAATTATTTCTTCTTCTCACCCTAGACCAAAAATGTCCTCCTACTGCCATTTTTCATTATATATGTTGAAAATACACGGGATAACTAGAACCAATGCAAGCAAATTTACAAGATTTATTAGATTTATGAACTTACATGAAAAAAAGAACAATTTTTTTTATATAGTATCTAGGATAATGTGGTCCCATTCTTCTGACAACAACATGGAAATATTATTATGCTTTCAGTTTTGGCACTGTTTGGTCATTATGGCATTGTAGCTTAAGTCTCCAAATAAAAAATTAAGGTAAAATCCTTAACTTGTGTGGGATACTGCCAAATGTCTCAAAGAAAAAATAGTAAATGAACAATATCTAAACCTTTTTTATACAAGATGGTTATTAATTTGTTTTCCTTCATAAATAAACATTAGTGATTTAAAGCTAAAGGAAATCCACAGGGGAAAAAAAGTTAATTTAAACTTATTAGTTTACATTTACTTATTAGTAATAAATAATCATAACACCAACACATACTAAACCAAAATATTTTTACCTTTGCATTTATTCTTTCTACTTCATCAGGTTCATGTTCATCTATGGTAAGATCTGCATAAACGTAAAACCAAAATTCATTACTTGGGTGTTCAGACCTCAAGAACCATTTAATAAATACTCTGCAAGAAGCAATACTGTGAAGTTACCCATATCCAGTTCCTGAACTAGTATAAAACTTCTTTCCAGGAAGAACGTATCTTTCAGTGCTTTCAGTTGTGGACTGAAGTACACATATAAGTCTATATTTCTATAAGAGCTGACAAATCCACATCTAAAATAGCCACTGAAGGTTTTGAATACAGAGCTCACACATAGTCTGTCCCATCAGAAACAGCACACTTATAACTCTGCTGGTTCTGGCTTGGGTAGAGTTAATTTTCTTCCCCATGGCTACTATGGGGCTGTGTTTTGGATTTATGTTGAACATAGAGTTGGTAATGTACAGATGTCTTTTGTTTTTGCTGAGCAGTGCTTACACAGAGCCAAGGCCTTTTCTGCTTTTTGTACTGCCACACTGGTGAGGAGACTGAGGGTGCAGAGGAATTTGGGAGGAAACAGCCAAGATAGGTGACCCCAGCTGACCAAAGGGATATTCCACACCATAGGACATCATGGTCAGTACATCAAGTGGGGAAAAGAAGAGGGGTATTTGGGGTGATGGCATTTGTCTTCCTAAGTAACCGTTACACGCGATGCAGCCCTGCTCTCCTGGGGACGGCTGCCTACCCATGGGAAGCAGTGAATTAATTCCCTGTTTTGCTTTGCCTCCGTGTGCGTCTTTTGCTTTGCCTAATAAACTGCCTTTAACTCAACCCACAAGCTTTCACTTCTCTGATTCTCTCCCCAGTTTTGCTGGTGGGAGAGTGAGCAAGTGGCTGTGTGGGCCTTGGTTGCTGGGTGGGATTAAATCACGTGAATATCCAACAAAAAGGTCCGAGAGATTCATACCACACATTACCCATGTCTGTCATGGGTGTAGAGCAGAAAAGCCACAGCATCACAGCGGTGGAAATACATCTAATAACATAGATCTTATACATTTTATTGTAACATGTTGGAATACTGCGTACAATGGAAGGTCTAGGCACATTTTGCTTGTGCTAAGCACCTGAGACAGACAGTATACAGAAGTTTTAAAAAGCTTGAAGTTTTGGGGTTTGTTTTTGTTTTGGAGATTGTTGTTTGGGGTTTTTTGGGGGGTGGTTTGTTTGTTTGTTTGGGGTCGGTTTGGGTGGTTTTTTTGTTTGGTTTGTTTTTTTGCAATGTGTGGAGGTTCACATACTGAAGCTTCATTGGGTAACCTCAGTGCTGTTCTTTGAATGTTGGTAGTTAGAGATGTTGGGTGAGGAACCAAAGGGCAGGTGGCAGCAGAGAAAGAAACAACCACAGATGACAGAAAACTGACCTCTGCAGACCAGCTGAAGGGTTCGCTGTTATGAAGCTAGTTGGCATTTTTGAGGAGGAGGATAGGAATAATTTATCGAAAATAAACAGACCTGGAATTAAATTCTACAGCGTAACGCACAGAGCACTGATGAAGAGATTAATAGGGACGATTTCCGGACCTTAGCAGCTTCATGCGACCGAGAAAGTGGATGCGGACAAGCCTGGCCTGGAAGCAGCAGTAATGCAAAGTAGAAGGCGGGTAACAGGGATTCTGGAGCGTCTTCCAAGGAATTTGCAGAAATAGCGAGGAGGTATCACAATCTTGCCGCAGACGCACTGGGCTCAGTGCAGCTACGGTCGCCCGAGCGAAAGAAGGCTCAGCTCTAGGCACTCTGCCGCAGTGCCGGGAAGCCCGGCAGGACCACAGGAAAGGGAAGGGAAGGCGGGTGACTCCATAGGGAACCGTGCGGCACCGCGGCCCGTCCTGCCCGGCCGTACGAGAAAGGGCCGGGGTCGACGGCCACAGCACGGCGAGGGCACGACCCCGGCACGGCCCCGGCACGGCCCCGTAGCGCGGGCGCGCGGTCGAGGGGGCGGGGACGCGCCGGCACCGGGAGCTGCTCCCGCCCCTTACAGGCGGGAGCGCGCGTGCGCCACGAGGGTGCGTCACGAGGATGCGTCACGAGGATGCGCCCGCGCCCAGGCCCGGCCCCCGCGGCGGCTCTGACGGACGTGGTGAGTCCGCCCCTCCCCTCATCTCCCCTTCCCTGGGGGTAGGGAGGGGTGGGTGGATGGGTTAGTGTTCGTTCGTCCGTCCGTCCTCGGCGGGGACGGGAGTGCTCCCGCCGGGGCTGCCCGCCCTGTGCTCTGGCGGGCTGGGAGCTGTGTCCCCACTGCCAGGTGGGTTTGGCGGCGGCGTTTGAGCCTCCAGCCCCAGGGGCGTCTCGGAGAGAAGTGTCAAGGCCCCTCGGGCCCTTCTTCGCGCGGCCTGGCTTGTGTCAAACGGGGGCAGCGGCGCCTCCCGCGCTGCCGCCTCCTCCTCCCCGCTGGCAGCTGCTGTTCCTCATCGCCCTGGGGGTCTCGGTCTGCGTGGCTTTAGTCAGGGATTTGGCGGAAGACCTCATCATGATAGAGCCAGGCTCTTTTCGGTAGTGCCAAGCAATAGGACAAGAGGCAAGGAGCAGAAACTGATGTATAGCATGTTCCACCTGGGCACGAGGAAGAACTTCTTTACTGTACAGGTGACTGTGCACTGGAACAGGTTGCCCAGAGAGGCTGTGGAGTCTCCCTCACTGGAGATGTTCGAGAACTGTCTGCAGGCAATTCTGTGCAATGTCCTCTTGGACGACCCTGCTTGAGCAGGGAGATTGGACCACGTGACCCACTGTGGTCCCTTCCAACCTGACCCATTCTGTGATCATCCATGAGGAGCCACTATCAAAACGCCAGATCCTCTCTTCCTCCTTTTGCAAAGCTCTGCTTCTTATTCATGAATGTTGTTCTTGCATAATAATAATTCAAATAGAAAGATCTTGCACATGCAAACATTCTTTCAGGCACTTATGGATCCCACACTCCAAGACCCTATTAATGTAGATAACTATATTATCTAAAATACTTCACAGTTATGCTTCAGGAACCAAACTCTTTATTGTAGAACTTCGGCGCTCCAGAGTCACTAAAACCTGAAAATCCTTTGCCCACAACTAAAAGTGTAGTAGATGATTATGTTTTCATCAGGTATTCATATCTTGCAGATTTCTCTTTAGAATATTTTGAATGGAAAGAAAGTTAGTCCTATGTTTTGTTTCTTTTATGAGTAACACTAACGTTGCACCTGGAAGTCTCTCATACTTTGTAAGTAAACAGTTATGTGATAAGGCTTTCCAAAGGGTTATAGTGTAATTATTCTTATAGGTGTTTGGGGGGGGGTGGGGTGTGTTAGAGCATTTAAGGCTGTGAAGCATTTCTTTTTGGGCTTAGATTGAGGAATACCCACACTCATCTGGGCTGTCACCTTTTGTTCCTCTCTGCACTGCCACAGCTGTGTTGAACGTGACTGGGAATTGATCTGTCTTCTGTCAATAAGAGGATGGGTTTCCATCTGCATGAGTTCTCTGATGAAGTTCATGTTAAAATGTCTGCAATGAGCAGTTCTGAGGACACAGAGTGGGGACTTTGGAAGGGGGCAAACAGCTGGGTGATCTCTATACTGGCATAAGTGGCTCTCCTGTCAAATGTGAAACTTGGCTGTAGTTCTACAGGTTGTGTATGTGTCTGCCCCCCTTTTTTTTCTCCTTCTCCTGAAGCTGTGATTTCCTAACCAAGATGAATGCATACTTACAGATGTACCTAATTACCTTTCTGCTTAGAGCAGTCCTTCGTTTACTTGAGCTAGAAGAGGACTTATATTATGGGAAGTATGACATTTGGATTGAAAAAAAAGACATTTTACCCAAAGTATTTCTAAATGGTAGAAGTATAGAATTACAATTTTTTTGTTTAGGCAGGAAGTGTGTTCTAAGGACTGTGTTTGTAGCAGTACTCATGTAATTCAGGTACTGGCTCCAGCAACTGTGTGTTGCTGTGCCACTCACTTCCCTGTTTATTCACTGGCCTCTTGTAACCAGAGCAACTGCAATAATTGCTGGTGTGCTGGCATACTGTGGTAAAACAGCAGTCAGTTGTGGCTCGAGAGAAGGCATGTCGAAGTGGCTATTCATTTTCATTGCTTCTTTTTTCTCCTTAGGTAATTCTAGAAGCTATGGATATACTCTTCAGAATAAGAGGAGGCTTGGATCTTGCATTTCAGCTAGCAACTACTGATGGTGTGTCTATTAGAACTAAGAGATTTCTTAATATTTATATAAACTTTTATTAATAAACTAATTAAGATATTTCGTTTGCATTTCACCAGCCGTTAAGTGCTTCTTCCAAAACCTGTAACAATTAAGTACGCAAAATGTTATTCTTTATCTCCGTAAATTTTCTGACAATCTTTTTCCATCATATGTTTTTTATTTTCAGCTTGACTCCAAAGTTGACCCTGAAATTCTAAGCAGACAGAGAATAATTTAACAACAATGAATTTGGTTATAACAAGATTGTATTAATACAGTTTTGGGACTGTGGTCCAGTCTTCCTAGAGAAATAGAGAAAGGGAATAAGTCAACTAGTCAGCCTACTGAATTTAGGTGGGATTGGCTATGGCAATTCCAAGTGATAACAAGGGACTAGTCCATATGGTGTTAAGGGGCTCCTCTAGTCCCACACTGTTACAGTAATGTGGCATCCTCTTCAGAAAGTCAGCTCAAAGCTATCAGCGACCTATTGAGTTGTCATAGGACGGAATGTGGAAGGAGGTTGTCTTTAGTTCAAATGTCACTCATTCTGCATTTTAAAAGACAAGTCCCTGTTAGAGACACTGAATTCCATGTTAGTGAACCTTGAAAAGGAATTTGGGCTTATTTGAGGTCATGATGTGCAGCGGGAGTGTGGAATAGATTGGCCTAATGCAAAGCAACATTTTGTGAGTTGCATCCTGAAAGAAGGGCTATTTATTTAGCTTAGTTTACAGTGTAGTGAACTTTAACTGCAGTGAAGCAGAGTGGTATTTGAATTGTCCAGATGCATGGTCTTCACAGCTCTTAGTGTGTAAATATGACACACCATTCCTTTTGAAGGCAGTAAATTTTTCTTTTGGAGCAGTTTTCTAATACTATAGTTTTTACATACTTCTAGTGCAAAAGTTATCTAATACTTACCAAATTGAAGTTAAAGGATTAAAGATATACAGTATAGTCTTTGGTGACTTGTTAGGCTTTTTTAACTTTTTGTATTCTAAGCAAAGGTCTTTAACCTCCTCAGTGAAGAAAAAATGTGGGTAATGTGCAAAAGTTGCTCTGTCATGTGCAGTATTCGTTCAGGTTGTAAGGTGTGGATAAAACTTAAATAGTCAAGTCAAGCTCTGAAAGCCAACTGTCTATACCAGTAATAAAGTTTAAGGCAGATCAGGGTTACAGTTGCAGGTTTATTCTGGCCAGAACTTGGTCTTCATTTGGAATGTAGGCTCTGCTTTTCCAAACATTTAGTCTGTTTGTATTTCTGAACAATGATATGAAGTCAGAAACATGTGACTCAGGTTGAATCTTTCTGGGATTTAGTTAAAAGTTTGTACGTAGAAGTTTGTTTGCAACTGTAGGCTTGGTTAAGAATTATAGATGTGAGAATTGACTGCAGAATAGGTTATTCTTCTGTAATTCATTCAGCTCTTCATATTTGACATCTGAGAGAAAAGAGAACTTTTGTTCAGGGAGGTATGAGTATGACCTGCTAAGTAAAATCTTACATCAGTTTTTGTTTACCTAGTCATTTTCCTCATCCTAACAGCATTTAGGTTTTTATTCCAAGTTAAAACTTTTTTTTAATGTATGCCCAGCAGCTATAAAAAAAAGAGCAAGGGAATTTTCTAATCTAATTGTATCCTTATTGTGTTTCAGAGGCATCAACAAAAAAGGCATTAGGATATGTTTTCAGTGATCTTGCAAACAAATTGTCCTCAGAGGTTCTTGTATTAAGAATTTGCCACAGTTCAGTGTATGTGTGGCCTAACAATGGTATGACCACAGTTCCAGATCTGACTGATGAGTCTGCGTGTAAGGAGATAACACGATTTATCCAGTGAGTATATTAAAAATTGGGGGGAATAGCAGATTAATTTCTTATTATAGTAATTTCTCTTTTTGTTGATACTTCAGATTTGATCAAGATGACGAGACCAAACGAAAGCCTGGCAAAAAGAAGGATAAGAAGTTACCAGATACGGTATGTCTCTCACCCCAGTAAAAAATTATGTGAGACAATTTATCATTTACACATTTTCAGACTTGCCCTCCCTGGGCTTTTTTGTGCACGAGTAGATATTGACATGAGTTAAAAGAATCATTTTAAAGTCATTGAGACTCAGTGTGAGTGCAGAGGTCCACCTATGGTAGTTCAGCACGTAGAAGTTTGATGTTACTAGCTTTTTTTTAGGCCAGGTATTTCATTACTGAGTTCGATATCAAATATCTACAATCTTTCTTTTGTCTACTTGATGCATGTGTAGTTGCAGATGTCCTATTGGTGTCTTTATTCTCTGCAGCAGCAGATAGTCAATGTAGACCTCATGTTGGAAATGACATCTTCTTTAGCTGCTTTGGCTCCAGTCATTGAAAGGGAAAATAAGGAACACCACTACATAAATATGACATTACCAGTTGATGTTGTTGTATCTGTTTCTCCAGAAGAAACGTGGGGAAAGTAAGTGTTATCCTGAACTTGTAATTTTTCAGCTTCATTTCTGCTTTTTCTTGAAGTAATGAAGTAAAACTATATAGCTCATCATTTTAATGAAAAGTATATAGTATTTTTAGAGTGGAATTTTAACTGTGTAAATAATAAAAGCTCATGTAGACAGCTGTTAGCTTTAATAATCTTGAGAACAATCCTTTTGCTGCCTGCAAAAAATTGAGTTCATCAATGTCTGATAGATTTGATAACTCATAACTATTACTTAGCAATGAGAAAGGGAGGGAAATGTTCTAAAAATTCTTGTAAGTATGTGAGGTGTATAAAAGTGAGAGTTGGGGTTTATTTGATGAGTCTTTTTAATCTCAGCCCTACACTAGGGACTGCAGCTGGGTAGGTGCAGATGGAAAACGTTTGAAGCTGCCTCTGTATTTTTAACTTGTATTTTTCCCATAGGATTTGACTCTGAACAATACTAAATGGGGGGGATAAAATGAAAAAAAAAAAAAATATCCCAAACCAACCAAACAAAAAAAACCCCATGTAGTCATATATGTAATTTTTATTTTGGCAAATGCTCAT